GGCCGGGCCAGGAGCGTGTATCCCTTGGTAACCGGTTCGAGACCTGTCGACAGTGGGCAGCTGAGCGGTGCACGTACCAGCGCACACCACAGAGACGAAGGTCCAGGGAGCCTCCCTTGGCATATCGGTACTCACCTGACCGGCGGATACAAGGCGCCCACGCACTTGGCGCCATTGGATGGTCGAAATTTGCTTGGTTTCGGTTTCAGCGTGGACGTGCTTGTTTTGGTGTTTTATTCGTGTTCGCTTCGTTTTGTGGCACAAATGTGTGCCTTGTCGCACATAACCAACGAAACAGTGCTACTGAGTAATTCTGAACCATGAATTAATTTCGAGCCTCAATTATGGACTTTTTTTTATGAACATCTTACGATGGATTTGGTCATGTTTGTCGTTAATTTCGGCCAGGTTCATCGGTGAAACGACCGAACTGATGCACAGGGACAGTTGCTATCGTCTACGGTCAAAACTCTTGTAGAGATTTACAGAGAGATGCGTAATAAAAATTAAAAAAAAAACGTGTAGTTCCACGCCCGTCGAACTTACGGCCGTAAGTTCGTACGTATCGAAGACGTACGTACGTATCGAAGACTACAAGAAGGCACTAGGGGGGCCAAGAAAACTGATTATTTGTTTGTAGACAGGAACACGTAGATTGGCCCTTTTATTATGCCGTACCACTCGACTGTCAAGCCGCTCGTGAAATTAGGTACCTTCGGTTCGACGGCAGTGCACTGTAGGTCGAACTGGAGATTTGGGGTGTATTCTACGACACAAGGGGGTGTTTGTGCTACACCCCCTATTTCGGAGAGTGCAGGCCAGAAACCTGATTAACAATGTGCTGAATCGCAATGAAGAGATGAACTCACAAGTTTACTGCTCCCGGTGGGAGTTTCGCGGGCACCAACTTTTTGTGAAATGCGCAGACGAATAATTTCTTAAAATTACTCAAAGGAAAAAAAAAGTGATGTCTCGGCTTATTTTTCTTTTCTTTGAACATATTAAGTATTCAAAAATAATTTCGAGTCCATAATTAACCGAGTGAAAAATCTTCTGCGGGCCCAGAAATCTTTAAGCTGTCTGTTAATTTAGTGTTTTTGTTTTTTTTTTTCTACGTGGGGAGCTCCAACTTTTTTTTCTTGAAATAAAGTATTAATTGAACTGTATATTTCAAGAAAATCAGTAAAGCCCTTGAATGGAGACATAGGGGACCGAGCGCGGTATACATAGTTTTCTAAATTCATAAATCGAACGAGCCAATGTCATGAACAAACAAATCGCGCGATGTGGACGTCGACATACTAAAACCAAAGACGTTGCGTTTCGTCCTTTTTTGCCTGTCTCGGGTTTTAGTATGTCCATTAGCAACCAGCTTGCCCGCCTAATAACGTTGTCTTCAATGTGGACGTTCAAAATGTTCTCACCATCAGATAAAATGCAATTTAAATGTTCGTTACCTACCTCCCGAGTTCCGCCCTATAATGGAAAGCAACTGTTTTCGATTTATTATGAAGGCGAAGCACGATACTTTCATGAAACACACACCGTGGTTTCATGTCGCCTTCCTTAGAATAAATGCGCGATGATAAAGATCCCTGTTGCATTCACACAGGGGCTTACGTTTTCTTATGTTACGTTGAATCTTCAAGACGTCGTATGTCGCGTGCAAAGCTTCCTTCAATTGGTTGCCACGCTTCATACGAATCACAGGTGTCCCGCTGACTGACGACCTGAGCTGCCGTAACATAAGCCAATGGTAGTGTATTGCTTCGCCAGTATCAGTGAGTGAGCAACTGAGCTGTCATAAGTAACGCTTGTGCTGCCTTCGACATACGCAATGTGCGTAAATGCTAACGCTGATTTCTTTGCCTCCTCTAGCCTCCCGACTCGTATCCGGTACGCCAACGGTCAGAAGAGCCAAAATCTGTTACAAAATTAACGACACAAGTTGGGCACATAATGATAGAACTCAATTAGAGAGTGAAGATAAACAATAGTTGACGGAGTAAGGCAAGAAATCTGGCGCTCAAATACGAGCTCCAGTCGGCGAGTGAGGAAAGGTTTTTCTCGAAAGGGTGGTGGCGCTCTCGGCCCTTGATTGACATCGTAAACCGTGGGCATGGGGCTGTCAAGAGATAGCTGAGAGCGAGGCTATGTTCCCGATGGTGCTCCTTCCATTTCATTTCATTTATTTACGTCTTAAGGGCCCGTGAAGGGCATTACATAAGGGGGGGGGGGGGGGGGGGGGTATACAAGATTTATACAATACAGAAAACGCAAAGCCAACCCCGGAGCCCCTCTCGCTTTGGGGTTGGCGTCTTCGGACAGAGGGAAGCCTGGAACGCGGTTTGGATCTAACCAATCGTTGTTTTGTTTTCTCTCTCTTTCCTAATTACGACAGAAGCGTAGTTTCCAGCTTTCATCGGATATAATCCATAGGCAGACGAAGACAGTGCATATTCTCCATCAGTCACCCATGCAGTCACTCAATAGACCTTTTCTTGGAAGCAAGCACGTGTACGCGGACATAGAATGCGCTGCTCCAGGATGTGCTGGCCGATCCGCCAGGCGCAGGTTCCATGCCGCAGCCCCGTCCAGCTGCTTCCTTGTGGGAAACGCATTTTAGCCGAACCAAAGTGTCTTAAATACCGGCAGAAAAAGAAACAGAAAAAGCGCTTCGACACCATGACGCTAATTATTTCCTCCGCTGCGTGCGTAATAATGACGTTGGGGAGTTTGCACTGCTGATGGCGTTTTCGTATGACGGTCTTACGGAAAATTCCTGGCATTCGGAGCCAGCGTATTGGAGGGGTTTTGCCGTCCCCCATCTGTGGACAAGACGCATCCAACTTGGTCGTCGCGATATTAGGGCAACGTGCGTGTCCATTTAATGAGTCGCTATTTAGTTTCGCTTCAACGAGAGAAAGACGACCGCGAGACTGGGGAAAAGAAAGTGGCAGCTACGAGGTCACAAACCTCGTCGTCACCGAAGCAATGAACTGCCAGTACGTGATCATGTTTTAGATGTAGGACTCGCACTTTGCCGGGACTATTAGAGAGTTTTAGTTGATCGTTCCGATACCTCCGATAGCCCCGATGACGATACTATGCATGTGCAAGGGAAGCGGTGGCGGGGTATCGGGTATCGTTATCGGAGTCATGGGAACGATCTACTAAAACTCTCTAATGTCTCGCACGCGAAACTATCGGAACGGCAGAAACTCGAAAATAGATCGTAAAAAAACTAAATAGCATTTTTTTTTTTTTTTTGCGTACGATGAAGATGAAATGTTTATTTCACTTTTAATGGGCTCAAGAAGGCTGCTGTTCTGCGCCGTTTGACCCGAACCTGGCAAACGGCGAAAGCCTCAGTGAGCAGCAGAGGGTTCTGCTGAAACCAAAAATGCTCCGGAGCGCGCGCCTCCTAGTCTGTTCTTTTTCTTTTTCGAAAATTTATATTTTTTACTCAGATTCTGCCAGTTTGTCGCCCGCGAGCAATGTAGTACAGAGAGCGCATAACGCACGACCGAAAAAGATTCGAATTTGCTCGCCAGGGGCGCTGCTCTGAGAACTACGGACCTCTAGCTTCGATCATTCGGATATCCCCGTCTTTTTCCTGTGCGCCGCTGGGTCACGGGGGACGAGGCTGCGATTACGTGATTTCATTGTGTTGTCAAAGGCGCCCGACTTCCTTGAGAGAGGTTCCGTTTGCACGCGCTCTCCTGCGAATGAGACGCCAGATAAAAAGCTCACACCAGTGTGTTTGATGGCGGCCATGCACTATCTAGGGGAGGAAGTGTGTGTGTTTTATATGGTATAGGGCGTTTCTTTTTAAGCTGAACGGACTTGTTTAAAACAAGTCGCGCGGTCTGTGCAGCTGAATTATGCGGCCAGGGGGACACCGTGTAGGGGGTTAATCGTAACGATCAGTCGACTGCTTAACTGAAATCTTTTTATTATTAAAAATAAACACGTGGCTCTCTTTAGAAACTTGCTGAGCGTCATTGAAGATCAGTCAATATTAGAAAGACTCGGAGCACGTGGGAAGTACGTTGGAATGCTAGAGTCGTCACTCGTGCAGACGAGCGAGGCTACCTGTGCGATAACGCGCCCACGTGGTTTTCCCGTCTCTTATCATACCCCAGCCTTGTACCTGTTTCACGAATGGTACCCTTGGCGCACTACTGCGCTTCCCACGCGCCTAAAGTATTTCTCAACATTTCTGATTTAGTGGTTTTCGATGAGGCTCAATAGTTTCTAATTGAAGCCATATGACGATTTTCACTAATTAAGAAGTTAATTAACAAAGTTTAGTTAATATTTCGACTTATCCTGACGATTAGCACCCTATATTATGTCCCCCTGGCCGTAGAACTAACCTGCACAAACCGCATTAGTGTTGCTTTCTTCATCAGCTTTCGGTGCAAATCACTTTCACCGAAGCCTCGAAAACTAAATGTATCAGAAATGACTCTCACTTAAAACTGGGCTGCAGCCAAGGCTCGAAGCGCGAGCTGCTTGCTTTCGAACCCAATCGAGGTCGCACCAACCTATTTCGTAGAACGGAACCGTATAGACCCTTTTGCCGAAGCGCACGCCAAGGTGCATTTTGAACCTTCAAGTACACACTGTCGAAGCGCGAGAGTTTAGCTCTGCCGCCCGTTTGCACGAGCACTCGTGCCAGAAAAAAACATTGGGAGGCGCCCCCTCGCTGCACAGAATACCCTATCTCGCATAAATCCGTCGCCGCGCTCGTTGCATTCTGGGAAACTGGGGGCCAGGAGCGGAGCGCGCATGGGGATATTGCTGCCCACCGATTCCCACAATGCATAGCGTGGCATTACGCCGAGGTGCTTCGAGGTTTGGAATCTGCACAAGGTGAGAGCCAACGTTGTCAGGGCGGGAAGTGGTCGAACCGCACGAAGCCGAGTGCGGCGACAGCGGGTGTGAGCCGGCCTGGGATTTAGCGGTTGGGGAATGTGATAGCCCGGCTGTCGCAGGTCGAGCCGCAGCGTTGGAGGTTCCCCGCGCGTCGGTGCTCCGTGGTGGAGCTGGTGCCATGGTGGAGCTGGGCTCGGAGCCGGCCAGCTGGGCAGCCGCGCGGGCCTGGACGGCGTCGGGGCTGCAGGCCAGGGCCGCCGAGACCCTGCGCCTGCCGGACCTCGAGGGCAGCGTGGACCCGGACCAGTGGCTGTCCGTCGAGAGCCTCAGCTTCGAGCCGCAGGAGGTGTACGGCCCGCAGGCCGTCGAGCCCAAGGAAGAGAAGGTGGGCGACGCCCCCTGGGAGCCTGATGACCCGTACTCGCGCGTGCCGGACAAGAGCGAGCCGGCCGAGCAGAGCCCGTCCTTCTGGAGCATGGACCTGGAGCTGAGCAAGCTGGACGCCATGCTCAAGGCCGAGAAGCCCGAGGCGCTCAAGGACCCCACGCTGGCCGAGCTGAACGCCAACGACGAGTCTGGCCTGGACGGCCTGGACGTGAACGACTTCCTGCGCGACTTCCAGCAGGCGGGCTGGAGCGGGTTCCCCGGGCAGCTGGCCGAGCTCCTGGTGCCCAAGAGCTCTCCGCTGTCGTCCAGCCTGCCCGCGGACTGCACGCCGAGGCCCTGCACGCCGAGGCCCTGCCCGCCTAGGCCCTGCCCGCCCAGGCCCGGCCCGCCCACGGCCCCGACCGAGATGCCGGGCGGCAAGCCCCGGGGCCGGATCCTGGCCGAGCGGCTGTCCTGCTCGGCGCCCGAGTCCCAGCTCTCGTCGCTGTCCATGGACGAGGGCTTCAGCAGCCAGGACTCGGACGACGGCTTGTCGTCCGAGGCCGAGTCGCACGCGAGCTGCGACGCCGAGCCGGCCTCTCCCGACAGCCAGAAGAAGAAGAAGCGCTACTTCTGGCAGTACAACGTGCAGGCCAAGGGCCCCAAGGGTCCCCGGCTGTCGATGGCGCGCGACTCGGCCGACCCGCACGTGCTCCACGACGTGACGGACCCGGTGTTCAGCCCGGAGTGCCACCTGGAAGGCGTGAAGCACGCGGGCAAGGCCCGGCGCGGCGACGGCAACGACCTGACACCCAACCCGCGCAAGCTGTACAACATCGGGCTAGAGCTGCGGAAGCTGGGCCGCGTCATCAACGACCTGACGCCCGTGAGCGAGCTGCCCTTCAACGCCCGCCACAAGTCGCGCAAGGAGAAGAACAAGCTGGCCTCGCGGGCCTGCCGGCTCAAGAAGAAGGCCCAGCACGAGGCCAACAAGCTCAAGCTGTACGGCCTCCAGCAGGAGCACAGTAAGCGCGCTTGTTTGTCTCGCGGCGCCGTCGATCGATGGCCCTTTTTGTTCATCAGGGGCCACGCATACCGAAACGCGGAGCCTACTGCATCGGAAGCGCGTGACGTCACGCGTTGTCAGCCTGGATTGGTCCGCCTTCGTTAGCCCAAATTAGAAGGCGTTATCGATCGCGCTGTTGGTGGCGCTGTTTGTCGCAGCTTTTGAGCAGTCCTATTATGCTCGTTAGCCGCTCGCGCCGCCAAGGAGCGACGCCATCTTGGTAACGCGTGCGGTACTCGGGCATAGCTCGCGCCATCTTGAGCATTTGTTTCCTCCTCGCCCCGCGCGCCCGCCCGCCGTCCCGGCCACGTCCCGGCGAGGCCCGCGGAGCGCCGTCCTTTGTCACGCTCTCGCCCTTTGTCAGTGCGCCCATTCATTTGGGGCTTTGAGACACCGAATGACCCGGGCACTCGCATTCGACCTACAGGCGTCTGCAGTGGTACTTGGGCTTTGTTTCGGTACAAGCCGGAAAGCACATGCCTCTTGCTGTTTACCGACTCTTATCATGCAAGGACATCCGATAGGGCTGATAAAGTCTGAGAAAACAGCTCCGACCGCTTGCTTGCCAGCAGTCATCTCGCATTCTCACCCGCATTCGCCGAAGGGGAGAAGGAAGAAAAAGGTTTTGCAAGTGTCCAGCGTTTCCCCTCCAGGCTAAGAATTGCACAAGGAGGCCCAAGGCCACCGCAAAATTGCGCCAACCTTTTTACTGGGCAAATAAATCAAACAGCCCATGGGAGAGAAAATTCCCAAAGATGAGCACACCAAAGAAACTTGCTGCTCTAAAACAAACTCATCACACATTCAAATTTATAAAAAAAAAAAAAAAAAAAAAAAAAACTTCGTTTGAAAAATGAAGATTTAAAAAAAATGCTGCCTTTTTTTTTATTTATTTTTTTCAATCTTGCTTTGAGGGATGAGCTTTAAACGTATGCCGTTTTTTTTTTTGGTTTATTACCGCCCCCCCCCCCCCCCCACCACCACCAAAACAAAACAAAAAAAAGTATGAAATGTGGCTCTTTTTAATGTTACTTTTATAGCTCCCGGTCACCAATTTTTTTTTTTTTCAAAATTTTTTTTTTGTTTGTTTATAACCGTTTCTGCATTATGTTTTTCTTGTGTTCTTGCAGTTTCCCATGCAAGAAGGTTTTTCTTGTTTGGAATCAATAACGAGCTAATATCATACTGTCAATTTTCGTGGAGAGAGGTATTTGATAACCCACCCAGTGGATACGCCCAAAGCCCTTTGTTTTGGCAGGATTTAGCTGGCTTTGGTCATTGCTAGTGTTGAAAGGTTTTATTTTTCTTACCCTTTGCTGCATTTTCGGAAACAGTAAAACAAACAACAAAATAATGAGCTTGTTTAGTATAAAGTGTCCTCTCTAATATTCTCAAACAATTTCTTTAACCTATTGTATTAATGTGAATCAAACAGTTACACAAATTTGTGGATAGTCTGGATGAAGAAACTGTAAGACTCACATACAAATTCTTTATAAGACTCATGAGCCCCACAAAGTTCAGTGACCTGGGAAAAGAGTGGCAATGTTTTTTTTTTTTGCCTGTGTTTTTGTACCACTACTGTGATACTCGCTGCTTTATTTTTGTTCCCATTTTTGCCCATCTGATCTAGAATGAGGGATTTGAGTTTATTCCGTGACCCATTCAATATCATAAAGTTTTGTGCTTTATAAATTTTACTTTACACATTACCAATACAGCATTCAATGTGACTTTATGAGAGGTACTCTGCTGCAAAGTTACACTCAACACTTAAACAATGAGAAAATATGTTCAATGTGACCGTTGTAACAGTTGGGAAGGGACCACTAGAAAATAATTTTGGCATTGTCTTACTAATATTATCTCAAATCCCTCTTTCAATCGTAGTTACTCCTACGAGGGTGTCAGCTTAGTAAACACACCAAGAAAGTAGCTTTCCCTTCCACAGTGACCTGGAACAAGCATTTACGCCGAGAAATGTGTAAAAATGTTTGAGGGGGTTAGGACACAAAAATTAAACTGGTAGATTATTCTTCAAATGGAATGCTTATAGGTAGAGCCCTGCATATCCGATGATCATCCACGGATATCCGCCGTCCTGGCAGATGCGAACAAAAATTAATCTGATTTGGCAGACTGCGGATCGGATGCGAATATCTGCGGGTTCGGATCTTTGCCAAAGCGGCCCATAAACGTGTGCGACCGCACAGTGTAGAGTGAATAAGTGAGTGATACTATGTAGTGCATCATCAAACATATTACGGGAGCAAACTGCTCTCGTAGATAAAAGGTGCCAATCGAGAAGAAAATTTTGCTTTACATAAAAAAAATTTATTATTACCAAAGGTCGCTTTAGAACATTCTACAAAAATGCCTTACTTTAGGAAAAGTCAAGAATGCAGGAGTATAGGTCGTTCCGGGAAAGCGTGTTCTTGTATGGCAGGGAAAGAGCGGAAAATGTTCTTTGGGCAAAGAAATCCCAAAACGTAGAAGCCACGAGAAAGTAGAAAAGCCTGCAAGTGGCTTCTTTGCCTATAAGGAGATTGAGGGGACTTAATTTGACCTTCTGGAGTGGTGGAACTTGCGCCACGTGTTTTCGCACCTCATTCTTGTAGCGCAGTTCCTCCATGCCACCCCAGCACCAAGTGCATAAACGGAGAGAGACTTCTCATTAGCGGGTATTATTTTAAATGACGATATTCTCTTTCACCTACACAGCAACCTAGGCAAATGAAATGTTGCGTGTGTGTGTTTTCTTTTTCTCAACAGTTGGCACTGAGTAGTTGTTTTTAAGTATATGGTTCGGAGCAGGCAGTTGAAGGTTCGTGTTTAAAACTGAAACCGATAGGAGGTGTTGCCATTATTGAATATTGTGATATTTTCCCAGTGGTGTACTCGCGCCTCACCACATATACACGATTATGCTTTGTTGCAGTGAGTAAGTGCCTTTCCTCGCCCACTTTCTTTTATTATGTTTGGCCGAAATAAAATGACACAATGTTATTAGTCTCTCCTTTGTTAATTTTTATGTTTATAAAATAGGCGTCTGCTTGAAGTGGGTTTCACAAAGCAAAAAGGAATATAAATATTAAAATTTCCTTCCTCTTAGTGCAGAATGTCAGTGTCACAAACTCCCAAGTCTATCTCATAACTGCGATCATCTTTCCGGCGATGCGAAGTGTCTCTGGAAAGATGATAGTATATTTTAGAAATACGATAAAACAGAATACAATAAAAAAACTTTCACCGCATTTTGACACAAAGAGTTCCTTGTACAAAGGTAAGCAGATGGCTTATAGGATACCATCCGGGTGCCTTTTCAATTTTTATTCATGCTTAATATTATGATGTAAAATGAATGCGCAGATTGAGGGTCGCATGCGGTTCCGAATTTCGCGGATGCAGTTCGGATGCGGATACTAAATCTGCGGATGTGGATCGGATGATTGAAGTAGTATCCTTGGGAAGCTCTATTCACAGGCTACTTAATATATTCACCAAGTTTCATGATTTTTAGAGCTCTAGTAATTGCAATAATCAATTTACGAATGTTGATAATTTTCATCTGGCAACCAGGCAACAGTGCCCAGGTTAGTCACACCATGGTGCCCATAAACTTGGTGATCATAGTGTGTAGGTGAACGCTCTCTCATTCTAGGTGTCCCCATGCTTGCCTAAGCTCGCCTCATCATCGTTTCACTGGGCTACTCCGCTGCTCCTGTTCTCAACCCCCTTGCCCTTCCACCCGGCATGCACGTGGGAGATTGCCGCGAACGATGGCGAGTTTGTCCGTGACGATTTCGTCACCGTTGCTGGAGCTGCTCACAATGACCAGCTTCCAACATCTGATAACAATCACTCATTGCTACTGCGATCAGTGTCGAAGACTCCGATGCAGCGAGCGGTGCTGTAGACGGCCATTGTCTCGAAGTGCAGAAGGGAAACGAGGAAGCTGAAGCGCGAAACGTTGAGAGAGACAAGTCTGCAAGTGTCTGCAATGCGACACCGCGCTTTGAGCGAATGACGTTGCCGACCCAACAAATATAGCGGTCTTCCCGAATCGGGTGCATCCGAGGCTCCCACATATAAATCGATTTATCTACAAAGCTATCGTGCCATTTTCAAAAAAATTTAGGAGAAATTTAGGAACATTTAATGGGTCCTAGCAGTATAGTTGTCTCATATTTTATTTTTGCCATGTCCCTTTAATCTAGACAAAGAAGGTCTTTGTAGCAAAGCAGTTATAAAAAAGAAAACCTTTAACATATCAGTATTTTTACTATATTAATATCCAAGAATGCTCTTATCACTAGCATTCCAGACTTACTACAACTTTGTTCTACTGTAAAAAAATGTTGTGGTAAGTTTGTAATGCTAAGGCAGGTACTCTTAATAATGGAAATAATATAGCAGATTAAAATAACTGACTCTGGATAGATAGATCCCAGTGTATAGTAAATTCTAATGCCAGTGCCAGCATTTAAAGTAAATACAAATGCAGGAATTTTTTTTTTTTTTTTGTAAATTAATTTTGCTATTGGAAGGTCTACTTTCAGTTGATATACCCTGCAAGTGAGCAGAGAAGAGGTGTATGAATGCGACTAGGACAGCCTCCATGCAAGCTAGATGCAGAGTGCCAACAGTGGTGTTTCCCTGGCAGGAAAGCTCATCAATCTGTTTGAGGAAGCCAAGAAGTTCCTGCGGGAACAAGTGGAGGGCCCACAGAGCCAGGAGCCAGCCGCTCCCCACTTTGACGCCCTCGTCAACAAACTGGGTGAGTTGGCGCAGCCTCTGCTTCTCTGGCTCCGAGAATTTGCGTCTGCTTCTACAGACAGACTGCAGGGTGGGTCTTTTGAACACCTCTGGCCGCATTCCATGCCTTCTGTCATGCTTTGGCTGTGCATACTCGCTCGAGGTCCACCAGACTCCTTCTCCAAGGTAGCAAGCTCGCGCTGGAAGCTCCTCATTTCGATTTCTTGAGGGTAGTCAAGACTGTGGTTCACATTTTTTCAAGAGCTCCTTGTGCAACTTCCTGTCTGCCAAATAGGGTTAGGTAATTTTGTTGCAGCTGCAAATAAATGGGTGTAATATAGTAGGCTACTATTTTCTACGCATCTGCGTGCTCTGGTATGGAGCTGCAGTGGCACCAAATATGAAAGCAGGTACGGCTGTTTTATTTGTGACTGCACCTCAAATTCATCGGCACCTGGCGGCAAAAACGTGAAGCTCTGGAAGGAGGTCGGAAGTATTTTCGCCGGAGTCGCCAATAAAAGCTGATAAATCCCTGGAAAACTGCTCTTTCAAGATTCATTTACTTAAAAAAATATGAGCATATTGTTTCATTATTTTTAATAATCATCAGCAACCTCAAAGCAAATTTTTATCCCATTAGTGATCTATTCTGGAATCTAAACCAAAAAATTGTTTATTATTATTAAACTGAGATACCATGTCAGAGGTAATTTTTAATGCCGGGAAAAACTGGGTTTAACCCCAAATGTTGCTTATCTCTAATAAAAATTTATGGGTAAAATTGTTTCAAATTTTTTTTTTTTTACTTCTGATTTATTCTTAACTTTACACCACGCCCGCTTTTCTTTGCGGCATGCCCTTAGAATTCCCACTGAGTCGGCTTTGTTTCTTGTAGTTAAGCAGGAATTTTCTGATTATCGCTTTCAATTTCACATGCTCAGCGTGTTTATAGGTATCTTATGTCGAACTAACCACACTAAAATGATGAGGCCATATAGCAGTAATAATGACATGTTCAAATATTCATAATTTCTTCAGACCATTAAAGGCATGCTAAACCAAAATTTTGATTTCAGAAAACAATGCGGAAGCACCAGGCAGGATGCTGCAAACTCGAAAGCATCACTCGCAAAGCGATATCCTCAACGGATGGTCGTATTTTTGTGAAAGAAGAGTGCGCTTGAACACGGCCATAAAAGCCCGTGACGTCGCAATTCTCGTTTCCTCCTCTTCTCACTTTGACTCCACAAGGACGCAAAGAGGGAAGAAAGCAAGGCCGTTTCCCCTCCTCCTCAACGATTCTGCAGGAAACACGACTCAATTGCATCCTTATTTTACAAAAATACGGCCATCCGTTCAATATACCGCTTTATGAGTGATGTTTTGGGGTTTGTGGTGCCCCTTGAACACTCCTGCTACGTTATTTTGTGAAATCCAAATTTCGGTTCAGCATCCCTTTAAAGTCTGGAATTCACACCCGGAAGAATGCATTGAAGTTAGGGAAGCACAATATTGTTTGTGGATAGGCTGAGTGATTACTTTCATAATCTTAACTAAAAGTGCATTGTCATCATGAACAAGGTATTGGATTGGAGTGTTGAAGGCTGTGAAGGTACACTTTATTTTTCCAGTTTTGTTGCTTTTATGTTGGTATTGTAATCAATACTATTATTGTTTTAATCACCGTTATATACAGTTTGTGCACCTCCAAATTTTATGCTAATGTAGGCTTTTATGTTTTTGGATAAATCCGAAAACCTGGAAAAACACCCTCAGGTAAAATTTTGGTGAATTCGAATTTATCCAATAAACTCCGAATTTTTATGTGCCAATGCACCCCCCCCCCCCCCCCCAAAAGAAAAAGAGAAGACGAAACAGGGTCCATGGTCCTGGTGAAAATGCCACCAGAGTTATCTTTCAAATCTCGGATTATTGTCAAAAGGGGTCTTAACCACTGGGGAGTGCGTCTTTAGACGCGCATCAATTTTGACCGCAGAGTGGGATGCGCGTCTATAGACGCGGTGCACTTTCTTTGCTGTTGGGAAGCGAGTTTTTAAAACGCTCGCTCAATTTAGCGTGTGGGTAGGATGCGCCATCTATCCTCGTGTATTGGAAACATTTTAGTTTTAAAAACGATGCATACATGGCAGCACAAAAAAAAGTTGAAGACTCCTGTATGACACCCTTGACTGTTTGTTTGGAAACTGGCGTCGAGCAAATGCCAGCGCGTCCCTTGACCTACTAAGAAATCGCTGAGCTGCTGCAAAATACTTGCAAGGACAGCGACTGCGATGTTGATTTCTCGAGTTCGATGGAATACTCCCCGGGATCCTACACGAAAATTGAAGATGACACAGCGGAACAATTGTTTATGGAAACACCATCAACTTCGGGGTCTACTGCAACCTGGCAAGACACCAGCACAGTGAAAGATCCGTTTCGAATTGTTTGAAGTGTCGGGGTGCACATACAACTTGATATGAATAAATTTGTTTTAGGTTTTGAGATTAATGTTATAAAGGCCCGTTCACACTCTTGCGACCTCTTAAACCTGGGTTCCTTAAAACTTCTTAAACCAGAGAACACACTGGTGCCATCTATTGGGAAGTAGTGTAAACTCGGCGGTCCGGCATATTTTTTTTTATTTCTCGCGCATTATCCTTTCTTTCTTGGCTCGAAAAACTTTTGTCAATGTTATAAACGAGTCTTTCTATGGGTATTACGCACATTTGACCTCGGAAATCCCGCAAAACCTTCGCTCTTGTGAAATGCAGTTCCTGGGTCACCGCATAGATGGCGCCACAATGCCAGTGTGTTCCCTCATTCTAAAAACATTTAAGAAGTTTTAAGAGATCTTGTCGCTCTCAGTCGTACTCGGTCGCAAGAGTGTGAACGGGCCTTAAGAGATAAGCCTTAACCCCAGTTAAGGGGTTAAGGCTTATCTCGTCAAGGTTAACTCAGGACAAGTCATTGTACTTTCGGGTCAGGACAAAAGCCACTGCTTTGGCTTCCAGTTTGGGCCATACTAATTATGTGTTATAGGAAGGAGAGGTTTGGTTTTTTGTAACAGTGAAATCTAGACCATAGAGATTGCATAAAATGGGTAAGAGGTGCAGTTGAAACTTCTCTATTACATCCTTTACCACTCCACATCGGTCAGCCACGGGGTAGGTTGATGGAATAGGATGGGGGATGAATACGAGCTTCCCAGCGACTACCCCTAGGAGTTTATTGGTTTTAAGGTTTATCGAAGTGACACTTGTGTGCAACTTTATCTAGTGGGATAAATTAGTATAGGTATATTCACTGGCGGCCATTGGCAAGATCAACTGCAGGGGGTGCTCTGACCCGTTTGTTGTCCCCACACCTCAGTGTTTACCCAACACAAGGCCTGTGGACATGCCCTCAGGCCTTGTGGGCAGGTTCATGTCTTAACGTAAAAATATTAACAAGGAACGAAGTGACATTTATTGTTAGGGCCGGATCTCTCCGAAAGCAGTCAGAGAATGCGAGCCTGACCCACTTCGGCTTTTGTGCTGAGCTGGGCATATGCACCGTTCAGGCCGGAGTGGTAACAAAAGAGCCTCTCCTTCCCCTCAGGCAACCGGAGAACACAAACTCCAGCTGCACGTTCATGTTCGGTTAAGTCAGCTGGGCGTTGTGTCATTGTTGTTTGTTATGCCCATCCATGTAGTTCTGAAGATAGCCGCTTGGGGAGCCACGTTCTGATCTCCTTCCCAATAGCTGAGCTTGCTGCTGCTGAGCATGTGTTGATGGCAAGCTTCCACAACGCTTCCAACACGCATATTGCACACCATCACTATTGTATTCCTTTGGACAATATAAATAAGAACTCATCCCGAGCATGTGCTGTGAGCAGTCACCTCAGATATAGCGTCCAGTGAATTATTGCTAATGGTAATGGCACCAACGCCAAATCCAGCTGAAGAAATATTAATTAATACAAGTGTGTTTTATTTTTTAGTTATATAACATAGGTTTACACACAGATTTTTTTTTTCTTTTTCTTTAATAGTAGACATGGTGAAATTAAACTCTGAATTTTGGAGAATTGGGAATAGAAGAAAAATAAACTGTGATAAACACCCACCGAATTTAACGAAAAATGAACTCTGACAACACGGAATCCTAGCTATATGTTGCCGAGTGTTTTTTGCTTTTATATTTATCTATACTATCATTATGAACTTAAGATGACATAGAAAACTATTTTCTTTCTGCACAGTGCTGTATTACATTGTGTGTAACCTGAAATAAGCCTGAAATATTTCAGATAAATGAGTAAATCTCCATTTATTACATGCAACAGCTGGGTGCAAAGCGCCATCTACAAGCTGCTTAGATGGCCAGCTACTTGAGGAAGGCACGACGTTGTCGTGCCTTCCTCAAGTAGCTGGCCATCCACTAAGGATGCCACCATGGGTGTACCAACGAAGGGGCAGGGGGGCATGCCCCCCTAGTTTTCAGAGTGGCATGTGTTTTTTCCCCCTGAAGCGGCCACCACTGGGCAGGGCAAGCACTGGCCGGCAACGCCCAAGGGATACCAAGGGCACTGCCCCCGGCCCTGGGGGGGGGGGGGGGGGGGTTTGGTTTGGTTTGGTTTGGTTTGGTGATGTTTGGTTTGCCGCCCCACTCAAAAACAAGTTGGTATGCCACTGGATGCCACCCACTAAGCTACCCTTTTAAAATGAAGGCCACAGCTTCCTTGCGGTCAGGGTACCATAGCATACAGTACAAGAAGAATGCGCTTTATCCTTTACTTCACAACATGTTTTCTCTCCAGCCTTACCCAAGCATGAATGACTTTGAAATAGCGGGAAGGGAATTTAGTCGCCAGAAAAAAAAAAGGGTGCAGAATGAAGGAAAATTTATGCTTTGATCATTGTTGAAGGATGCAAGGATAAAGGGCATTGGCTGTATTTTGCAGCAGCATATAACTAAAGCGCACAGTCACGAGTTGTGTGAAAACGTCTCTGCAACTGGTTCATCCGTTCAGAGGGGCCACTCGAGGTAGGAATTGGTCCCCGAGATGATTTGGTGGGTGTGGCCGAAGAAAGGTCCGGCTAAGTGCATTTCCCCCTCCAGTTTCAGTGAAGGTGGCCGGACATTCAACCGAGTTTGTGAATCACGTGCTGGGCAGCGTGGCGGCGGGCAACCCGGACGGAGGCCTGTCCGACCTGTGAGCGTCGGGGTGTCCCAAGCAGTCTCCCCGAGAAACGAGGATCGTCGACTGTCGCATTTGGTTGTTAACGGTGCTGTGATATCAAGTGAGCTTGCGGTGAAGGCACGCGAGTTTCCTCCGGCCTGTTTGGGCGTCGGTCGCGGGTGTAGTCTATTACGGGTCGCCTTGCTCCATGCTTTGTCTGGTATACTTGTACCACAGCCGCTTAAAACGCTCGAAACCTGTGTTACTTGTCAGTTTGCTTCTAGCGAGCGCAGTCTGTTCTCACTTGTTGCACCGGGGGCTGCCAGCCCCTCCGGCTGCGGCCCCCATGTGCTTTTTATGCTAACCCTGCTTCTGTGTAGTGCACCATGTTATCATTGCACCCTCGTTTGCGTTAGCCCTTAGAGTGGCTCTCGAGAGAAGGGTTTTGTTTCGGCATCACGTGAGATGTTTGCTAAGAGCTTGGTTGCAATGGAAACCATTCGAGGCATTGTGTCCACGCAAGTCAAGTGGGTACTGTTAGGAGTCTATAGCTCTATGTATACATATGTACATAAGTGTATGTAAATATGAGTATTTTCTTTGTTGTTTTCATGAAACCTAGTATGACGTGCAAATGTAGAAGGCATTAGCATAGGTATTACGCACTGTTGCCCAAATGTCATTTTATTTCTAATGTTCTTTGGCCGTTTTGTTTAGAGCTATATCACAAACACAAGCTGTTCAGGGTTCTAAGCCGTACACCGACGGTCGGCTACACAAGTCCCCTATGACGGACGCATGGCAAGCCGCATTTTTGCACTTGAGAGCTCTGTTGCGGCCAGAGGCAGCCAGGTGGGCCCTCACACACTGAAGTCAGCGAGACCCTAGTCATCTGAAGAGTGCCTTTTAACTTGTACAGCAAGCCCTCTGGCAGGTTTGGTATTATGTGGGCAAATAATGACGCTTTCCCGCCGGCCAGGCCAAAGCTTTTCCCGCCAAGGTTGCCGCAGTGCAGGATGTCTGTGCGCGTCCTTCGTTTCGGTTGGTGCACCAGGACGGACCTTCCGTTGCCCCTCGTCCCTTCTTTGGGCATGCACTCACCACGTGCAAGCCGTAGAAGAGTCGCTTGCTTGCTTTACGATCCTCACCAGTGAGAAGAGTGCAGCTTGAGCTTGCAAACGGCACTCTTGGTCACGTAGGCAAACGAATGTCAGTCTCATCCCCGTTCCCTTTCATCCAGCATCGCATGCATGCAAGAGAAAACTTCAAAGTGCAAATTGTGCTAGATCAGAGTTGCAGGACTATACATTACAGTGGACGTGTGCAATCGAATCTGTTGTTGTTCACCGACTTGAAGCGCGGCAGCCAGCGAGCCGACTCTGACTTCCCGCACCAAGGGTAGTGCGGCCAGCTCGGTCGGGTCGTTGCGCCTTGCATGAGAACATGTACAAAGCGAATATTTTTGTAAAGGATGTGTGTTGTGTCTAGTTGTTTTACAGTACCTGCAGCGCGATAACGGCAACTACCTGTCTGGGATTAATTGGCAAATCTGCCGACGAATAGATTTGGAAGCATCACCTGGCAGCTTTTTCATTCCAGTGTTAGAAAGTTGTCGGTGCACTATAGGTCTCTGTTTGGTTGATGGCCGTTTTTCCTGTGTTTCCGTTGTTGTTCAGATGCAGAGTCTAGTTGCCTTGCTTTGAGGTTCTAAAAACTCTGCAGAGCTCAAACACAAAACTTGTCTGTGGCCCGTGCCAGGAACGGGTCGAGAGCACTTGTTTTTGGGCATTCACTTTTTTTATTTTTTTTTATTATTATTATTAGAGGCAGTCGCAAATGTGCCAAAAAGTTGCAGGTGTGTTATTTCAGAGTTTATGCAGATCCCGCACACATCACCTGTGAGAACATAGTGATAGTCCGAGGCCCCATTGCCCGACAACCTGGAATTTTGGATTGTTACCTGTTCCGCGAGGCAGAGTCTTCAGCTTTGTTGGAGCTGCATTGGCCAGTGCTAATTTTGGCATCTAGGAAAGAGTCCAAATGCAAAGTCCTGCTTTACACTGGTGCCAAGGTCTGTGTTTCATATCCACAAACATTGCCTCGCTCAACTCTGTCACCTCCTTCGGTGCACTACAAACTCAAACTGCATTGGAAGACCCAGAAAGAGACTTGAACCTGTGCCTTGGTCAATACCTTTGCAAAGCAACTTAAGGGCCCACCATCACAGTAAGTGCAAGTTTGTAGAGTCGTGACCTTGGCACACAATCTTTTTGGTGACCAGCAAGGGTGAGCTCTGTTACAAGCTTATCATTCTTTAGGTTCCAACTAGCTCCCTCGAGAATTGCAGCTTGTTATTTGTTAAAAGTTTTAAACAATGTTTCACTCTGTATTTTGTTGGAGTCATGTTAATAGCATCACGAGAGTCAAGTGCTTGCTTACCCCTTTTTAACTAGTTTCAGAAACGTCTTGAGAGGGCGCGTTAATCATGTGCGTGCCCCAAACTACAAGTTCCTGGCTTCGAGAATCGGAAGCTTGTGGTTCCTTGAATGTGATGAAAATGTACAGATAAGTATATACACTGGATGTAAAAAAAATGCTTGTTTATTCTTCATATGAATAAAGAAAAACGTCGCAAAATATTGGTTTATCACCTACACCCTTCATTGGTGGCCTACACTGGTCTGCTTTGTTGACAGCTTCCGTCTGTTCTGCTTTGTAATTTAGACTTGCTAAAGGCCGACCTACAAACTTGAGTAAAGATGAACATGAGCTCAGATGTTTGTAATAAAAAAAAAAAGGGAAGGAGCCAACTTCAGGGGACAAGGTAATCCACATTGAAAGAGGGAAAGGGCTCTTCCTTTTTTCCAACTGCAGGTCGGCCTAGTGAGAGAAATAGTGACGACTTGAGGCAACCGTGTTGGTCACGCACAGCAGTGGTTGGAGTTGCCTTGGCCATACCTTGCACATACTGGCTTTAAGCGTGCTTTTAATTAGGGAGTTTTAGTAGATCGTTCCGATACCAATGTCCGCGCAAAGGCCTCGGCGTTGTATCGGGAATCGTTATCGGAACGATGTGCTCCCTATTTATCAAGTTTCAATGTGGGCTGCAGATAACACCCAGCTGTTGACAGCAAGAAACATTCCCAGGTGATCCTAGAGCCTGGCTAAACCGAGGCCTCAGAAAAGCCTCCTCTTCAGCACGTACAGTACGCAGGCAAAGAAGAACACCACCGCCAAAAGGATGAGCACCCTGTCGGTCATCTCCCGCCGGCCGTACTTGGTGAGAAGCTTCTTGGACTGCAGGATGGTACTGCTCATGTGGCGAGACTCCTCCTGGCTCTCCGTGATCACGCTCGATGTGCCCACTGCAAAGAAATGGAGTGTCACGCAGCTTCGAGTGTCCCCAACGTCTTAAAAAAATACACCAAGAGGCTTCTCACCTTGGCTTTTTAAGGCTCTAACTAGGTCGGCGTGGTTACCCGCACCAAAAACGCCTTCACTTTTCTGCGCCATGACCTGGCCGCTCTTCCGCCCAAAGTCGGATCAGAAGAGTGGCGGTGCCCAACAACCTCATCAACCATAAACTTGAATCAACACGCGCTATGCGCCAACCGTGCGAGCGGGAAAGGACTTTGTGGGGCGTTCCCCGGATTAGCACATGCCGGCCGTGAGGAGACCGCGTAGACCCTTTGAGGTCTCTCCTCGCATCCAAGTCAACTTTACAGAGAGTGCTCTTTTTTTAATAAAACTTTGGTTGGGGCTAGTTGGTTCATATCGATTAATAGGTTAAAAAAGGCGCGAACAAACAGGACGAAAAAAGACACACGTACGACACGGACAGGCGCCAACTTCCAACTGATTTATTGAAACACGAATCATGGTCAAACTCGATCACAATCGCCTAAACACAAGCAACTGATAAAAATTCTTGTCGCTCATTACACACATCCTTCAAGAAACACAATTTCTTTGGTTAATAGATAAAGAGATGGCATGCTTACGCATCTGTCAGCCGCTTTGTGTATACAGAAAGCTTCGATTAGTTCTCTTTCCGTGACGTGCGTGTGTCTTTTTATTCTCTTTCCGTGTCGTACGTGTGTCTTTTTGCGTCCTGTTTGTTCGTGCCTTTTAACCTTTTAATTTTTTTTTTTTTTTAAATTGCCTTGGTTGGCAGCGCAGCCTCTCTGGTGGGTCTGCTTACTTCTCCTTGCTTCAGACAACGCTCGTCCCAAACAACCTACGACGGTTGGATCATTACTCCCTATTTTGCTTGGGATGAAACATGGAAATGTCTGGACCGCAGTGTCCTGATGTGCTTTCTCAATTTAGAGTCCTGTGCAGCACGATCCCTTCCCCATTTTGCTTCAAAAAACAGACAAGAACTTGCAGGAGAAATCAAAATGGCTGTCATCTGGATGATCGTGGTAGAACAGCAGAACGAGGCTGGGTCTGCGACGCGCAAGTAATTCTAGTTATGGTCTATATGAGCAGTTTTTTTCCCACACTAGGAAGGTGTAGGCAAGCAGATTTATTGCGAAGCCGATCATCCAGGAGCTAGGGAGCGCGATTCTCGCACCGCAGTACCACCATCGATGAAAGTTGCGAAATGTGTCGTAGTTACAAGTGGTTGGAAGTAGGACGTAAGGTGCGGCTAAAGTTGCCCAGATAAAAAAAGCAGCTGTACCGCAACTCTGACTGTATACACACACAAAGAAAAAAGGAAAAGAAAGCAAACTGATCACAGAGCGCGAAGTTGTTCTGCCCTGGTACGGCTACACTACGCAGAAGATGGAACGTGCATCACGCAATAGCATAATCATGGCAGTAGTGATAAGTGAGCGGTACGCCCGTGCAATGCCCGTCCAGATCGAAGCGGGCAGGGGTGAGGATCGAACCCAGGAATTCTGAATTGACTACTTCCAAAAATCCGTGCACGCCACACTGGACGCGTTACGATATCAGAAATTATCCGGGGAAAATTGAATAAAGCAAACTTAACTAGCACAGCTGGGGGCAGGCGAGACAGGAAAATTGGGACTCCCTTCCGCGTGGTTCCAATCCAAAGTGTCAACCCTGTTTCCCAAAGGGCTCATAGCTGTGACCAGAGGAAAATTGGCTACTCGCTCGTCTAGAGGAAAATCTTTTTTTTTTTTTTTTTTGCCCGATCCTTTAAAGGTTTTTCTGGCGATATCCCACTGCCTGGTGATAGTTACAACAATGCAGAGGGGAAGCAAATTGGCTTGGAAGGGCGAGGGGAGGAATCCTACTTTTGGTTTCTGACCTAGCTGGCGAAAGCTACCACCCGTTATCAAGGGTACAACCATTAGCATCCATCCATCCGACCGGAATCCGGTTGGCAATGGAGAGGAGTGACTTCGGTTTAGATCGCTCCGTTGACAAAGTAGTGCATCTCAGCACTGCGTGAAAATCAAGTCAACACTCGCTTGCATTGCACCCATTCATCTTCGTGAATGCTCCCGTTGAAACACGGACCTTCGGTGGCCGTATGGGGTAGTTTAGGCCTAGCGAGGAGTAGGAGTACGGCCTGTCGCGTCCCATACCTCTCTAGCGGTCTGGCTACCACTCCGGTGTCATGCCGCCCCCCGCCCCCCCCCCCCCCCCCCCCCCTTCGGCACGCGGATAACTTAAAAGGCCTAGGGAATTTAGGAGCCGATGGATCATGTGCCATCGTCGTCCTTTTTACCTGCGCTCAAAATCCGGCACGTCGGGAGCCCAAAAAGAGACGTGCCCCAGCATTTCATCCGTATCTGAGGTAACAACTGCAGTATTATAAATCTAAAGAAAGTCATACGTTTGAAAATGCAAGCACTGTATTTGATCATGGCGTGATGTCGCGAAGTGAGTTTGGCCAATCGAAACCGAAACTTGGGAGCCAACCGGTAGCGTGGCCACTGGCCGCTAGGATCGCCTCGATTATGGAATATTCGATTCCGGGAGCGCGAGCAATCGAACGCGTCCGCGTTGAGCTCTGACCATAGAGTTATTATAATGTACGCTAGAGGTTCAACTGGCGCTAGTGTGCTGCTGCAAATTGAAGCAGACAGCAACCAGTCCGAAATTGACTTCCGGTAATACATTTCTATGGGAAAAAGTGAGTGCATTTGCTCTCTGCGCTCGAGTATAAGAGCAAATATCACGACTAATTCGTACGCACTGGGCACATTAGAACATTTCTCAGTCACGCAGACGGAATAATTGGTCAGTTACGGCGTTTTTATTTTAAATTCGTGGCATGAAAAACGGTGCTAAAACTGCTTCGTACATGTATTTATGTGCACTGTCGGACACTGTTAGCGCGAACACGGCATCGGCGAGTCGAACGAAAGACATCTGGGAAACTATGAGAGACGGTAAGAACTACGCAGTAACACTGAATAAGTGACTCCTTGTGCATGCAGACGATCAAAATAAATTGAAAGCCACGTAATATAGTCTGATTTCCAATAAATAAGTACTGCTAGTTTTATTCTTTCTGCTCATGAACATGTGCGAAGATGCTTGTTCTGGGTTCCAATCACCACCCGCACGCTCCAAATCTTTGCAGAAGAAGGGAGAAGCCAGAAAACAGGTGCCCGATAAAAACTGCTTGACATAGAAAATAATAAAAATACACACCTTTTGTAGCCCACATACTTTATTTTTTATGTTCGAATGTTTTTTTAACCGATCGTAAAGATGCGCACGACGGAGTCATTTTCATATAATAGAGAGTTTTAGGGAACCGTTTTTGCACATCCGATACGGTACGATGGGCCCTCCGGTACGAACTGCGCATGCGCTTGTCTTCTGCGATCTTACCGTAATGCGCTGGTCGAACCGTAAGGCACGACCGGCACGACCAATGGCCGACATGGACAGTCTCGCTTGGTTAGCAAAACGGCGATTTCGCTGGCAGATAGAAAGTGCCGTGGCTCCAAACATGAAGAAAATAACTCGTGGCAGTGCCTGGCAGGTGCGCCATGTGTGACAGCAAGTCCATAAAGTTTGAGTCAGCAAATAAGAAAAAGAATAAAGACCAAAACGCAATTGGACTTTTTTAATTGAAATAAGTTAGTGTTTAGTGTAGCCAAAAACGTCTGCTCGGTAGCTCAGTGGATTGGAGCGCCGATTTCGTAAACTCGTAGTGGAGCGGCAGTGGGGAGTTCGAATCCCGCTAGCCCATACATTTTTTTTTTTTAACATTTTATTTTATATTTTTTTTTTCTACAAAAATTGGTGTGTATTTCGAGCACTTATCACCCGTGTTTTTTTTTTTTTTTTTTTTTTTTTTTTTTTTTTTTTTTTTTACAGCTGCTGTTATGACTGAGGATTTTCTGTAGTGGCAACAGAGTGAGCAACAGCCTTCTGCATCATGGCTCTGGATACTTTTTAGTTTAAAAATGCTGCATGAATTAAAAATTTCTGTACAAGTGCTAATCACATATATCCTATAAAACGAGCCCTTTGAATATTGGGTGACAGTTTTAATAGGTGCACAGCAGTAAAGTTACAGGTTTTGCTTTATATTTTCTTCGTGGTCGTACCGTACACGGCGCAACGATCGGTACGCGGGCGTACGACCGTGATCGTCTGCTCTCTGTACCGTAAGAGAGCAACATGAGCGCCGCATCTATCTCCGTCCCTCCGCCTCCTCCTCGCAAGCGGTTTACAGCAGAATACAACATCTTTCTACTTCGGGAGGTGCTAGGCGCCACTCCTTTTTCACTCCAGCCCTTTGGAATGACGCAGCGTTGAAAAAGAACTTCTCGTTGCGAGGAGCGAAGGAACGGATTGACCTCCTCGTAAATAAAAATAGAGATTTGAGGCGTACTGTAAGATACGTCATTCCAAAAATATACACACTCTATGGAAAGAAAAACAGAAATCATTACATTCCTTCCTTATTTAACGAACTCCCAGAGTACCTTATGAATATAGAATCCACTAGGGTACTAAAAAGGAAACTAAGGAATTGGTGTCAAGCATCTGAGCTGTAGATATCGTGGCCTAACCGTTGGAGATATTTCGTACTTTTATTTCATGGTTGCGTGAGTAGACTTGGCTATAAACACCTATATTTCATGCTCTAAAGTTTTCCTTTTTGTATTTATTTGTGCTGCTAATTTTGGGTTTTTTTCATCTTTTTTTTTTGTGCTGCAAAGTTTTTTTTTTTTTTTGTAACAACATGTATTCTAGCTGGTCGCCTGGCCCCACATACAAGCAGAATGCTGCTTTTCTGGTCCAGCTCTTTATTTTGTATGACTTGATCTGAAAATAAAAATTGAATTAAATTGAAAATTGAATTGGATTATCTTTGTACAAGAAAAACGACCGCATCAACTTGAGAAAGTGTGTATATTTTGGT